TTAGAAATGTACTTACACTCATATACAAACGAGAAAAGGAAAGCGATCGGTATTTAGCAGTGAAGCCGCAGACTTGCCTGATAACATCAGAGGACGAAGCTATAGGGAGCCTGAATTAAGAACGTAGGGCTATGGTTCAAGAAAAAAATAAAATGACAACATTAAAAATAGTAACGAAATGAACTCCTGAAATAAAACTAAAATAAAGTCTTCACATTGTGTCAAGGTGGGAAGAAAGCTAAGGCCCATGCCCCGTCATCCCCTCCAGGATCCTCTCTTTAGCTAGGGGATGCTGGAGGAGGTGGGAGGGTCTGCAGTCAGGGGAGGGGCCTGAGCTCCACCAGTCACAGGGACAGGTGCTCCGCTGCCTGGGGCACCAGAGGAGAACGCCCTCCTGTCACCCCTTCAGACCACCTGCTATCCTTAGATAGTAATTGTGGTTCTGTCCAGGACACACGATGATCACCCACAGGAAAAGGCTTTGCCGCAGAAATTAGGCTGCTGCACATCCCCACATGCTCCTTACCTCTCCTCGGAGGGTTCTGTTTCTCTGGACTTCCAGGCATTGGTCTCTGTCTCCTGTATCCCTCAAGCAGCCTCTTTCCTTCCGTCCCATCCAGTCTTGGATACAGAAAAAGAATGGACTTCTATAAGAGTTGCAATACCACGTCCTCTGACTAGACACTAAACAGCACAGCTGTCATCCCTCAAAACACCCAGAGAAACTCATGTCATGCTCCCACACCTGTGTTTCAAGCGGGCGACCTCCTGGCTCTGCTCTGCCATTTCCCTCTCCCAGATCCGAGGCTTGATCTGGGGGAGAAAAACACGTCCACCTTCAGTCGTGCCAGACTGTGCGCCAAAGAGGGAGAGGAGGAAAAAAGGAAACACTTACTCAGTTGTCCTGAGCATTATTCTCATGAACTGCGATCTGAAAAAGCAACAATGAAAAGTCCATATTTAGGAATTCCAAGGACCACTACATTCACCCACATGAGGTACTAAGGGTTCAATATGTCAGGCAGAACTCACGTTACCTGGTGTCTGAAGGTGAGCTCTGCCTGCTGCAGCTGTTCTTGTCTCTGTCCATTTTGTTGCCTGTGAGTTATAGTTGCTTTTGTCAGATAAGGCCCAATATTGGGTATGATTTTCAATCTGCCCATGTTCTCGTCATCCTCCTATCTGTCCCCTAATACAATTTTACACATGAAACACTTTTCACACGATTGTAAATGTACAATAGGATCAAAACTATTGTTCCATCCTTTCCTGACTC